AGTATGACAGGTAGTATAGTGGTATCTTCCTATTCCCCTTGGTTTCATGCAGTTATTGACTTTTTTGAGATTTCCTTCTCTGACAAGTGCTGATGCCACCAAGAAAACCGGTCAGGAAGAGATGTAAGTTACAGTTCAAGTGTCATGCTATGGCATGGAAAATCTGATGCAGTCCTTTGTGCTAGTAAATAGTTGAGTAATCTTGACTTTCAAAAATCTAAAATGGCAAGCCCAGCTACTAATTTATCCATGGATGAAATAGAATTATGTAATGACGATGGTAAAGGAAAAGAGAAAGGAGCAAGAAAAATTGTCACTCTCATCACTGAAAGTCATATAAAAACCAAAACAAAACCAAAGTTGGATTGAGAAAGCACACTTTAGTGACTGTATTGAAACACAAAGGAAGAAGAGTGCATTTCTCATAAAACAAGGCAGCATCGAAGCTCTGAGAGCACTGCAGAGAGAAAATGACTGAGAGCTGGCTGGATTTTAATGGGAGAGGATTGCAAGGCATTGCATGGCCTTGTGTTAACGAGATGGTAGGGTTTATGTGGCAGATTGAGACTGCAGAAAGAGAATGTCTAGCACGAGAGCAGATGCACAAGAATCACCACAGGCCCATCTAAGAGGTAGCTGTGTCTTTTCAACTGTTGATCTGGAGCATGATAGCCAATGACAACAAGGATGGGGAACTGACTGTGTAAGAAAATGCTGCCTCAAAGTTGTTTCACTGTGTCACAGCTGGCAGAAGCCCAAAGCTGGTTGTGCTGTAAGACACAATGAAATATGAAAAGTTCTGGCAGGCAGTGTAGATGAAACAAGACTGAGGACAACTGGGACTGCAGACCTGATTTAATGAGGTTAGTATGTAGAAGGAAAGAGCCAGGCAACAGTGAGAAGGGAACCTGCTTTATGAGGTACACTGCAGAACAACAGAATGTGTAGAAGGTGCTTCTGTATGGGCAAGCAAGTAGTTATGAAAACACAGACTAGTAGGAAAGCTGTTTAGGGAATTTGTTTGGATGTGTTTTGAACCCCAGTAATCAATGGCAGCTGGATTCTTCTTACCTAATTTCACTCACCTAAGAGTTAACTGATGATCCTAAAATAGCTATCCTAGCCCCGTCTCATGTCAGTGGAGACAATAGATACCTTACCATATCTATAAGAGAGTCAACATATCTGAAATTATTCTATTTTGACAGCTTGAGTTGCCCAGTGGACATGCATATGTCTCCTTGTCTATGCCAACCCAGGAAATCCAGTTAACTAGCTTACACCAGATACATAACTACTTTAAGTCCAGCAAGGTGCATCCTTTCCTAAATTTTGCAGAACTGCAATTTCAGGTTCTTCTGTCAGCTCTGCTGCGTTAACATTGTGTTGTTACAGTTATGAAAGAATACCTTGAATCAAAGTTTTCAAATCTGATAGTCAGTGGCAATGCTAACAAGTTGTTACAACGAGCTCATCTGTTCTTGAAAACAATGGGCATTTAGCCATACAACCTTCATTTTGACAAATCCCTCTTCAGAGGCACAGAGGAAGTGCAGAAGTTAAGGTTAAAAGGTACTCTTCTATTATTATAAAGCAAGAAACATAAAATTAGGGAATAAATCGTCCCTTTTCAAGAAAGGAGGGTGCAAGTAAAGAACAAAGGATTCACACCTAATTTTTAAATGGTTTTAGCAACAAGCAAGAAAATATGGTGAAGTTGAATCAGCAGGAAGAATACATGAATCTCTTCAGTTAGTACAGAATACCATGAATAACTTACAGATCCTGTTTACAACATGCCAGGGGAGCATTATAACACTTGAAACACAGAGTAGATCATTGCAAAGTGATTCACATCGAAAGGAACCATTTTAGTGACACACATGATAACTATCGGGGAAGCAAATGTGTATTATGGTGGATACATCTGCTTATTGGAAAAAACTGCTCAGTGAACAGAGAGAGAAAAAAAGCAGGATGTTAGAGTGCATTGAATATGCTGAAAATACTATAATGTTATTATGTAGAGCAGTGATGAGTCCTTGCTGTGACCATGGTATGCAGTTCTGATCAAAAAATCCTGAAGAAATCAACGTGGAAATTGAAATGTTTGGTAGATGGGCAGTAAAAAGTATTAAAGGCAAAGAAAAACTGGTTTATGAACAGAGATTAAAAGGATACAGACTAAAACAGGAGTGCAAACAGCTGCCTGCTTTAGAAAGCCACTGCAATTTCTAGGAGAGTTCTTGGTGTGTGCACAGACACTGCTTCTCAGATTAGCAAAAACTTGGAAAATAGTAAGAAATCTGAAGATTTACCTACTCAGTGTAATTCGAAGAGGAACAATCCCTACTGTAAGTAGTTTAAAGAACATAAATCAAACCCCTCTATTTATACTTAAAGAGGAATGAGACTACAACAGACTTGCTTGTGTACATTAAAAAGCAACCTATTTATAGCACAGAAAAAGAAGCACCACTTTATGCTACATGTAAGTAATCTATGAACTCATTTCCATGAGGAGACATTGAGGTTTTAGTCTGTCAGGTTTGAAAAAGTTGTATGAATAAATAACGCATGTAGTCTACCTAAGTAAAGCTGACTAAAGCCAATATCTGAGACATTTAAGTCTTCAGTCATCAGACAAAAAGTAAGCACTAGCTCGCATTACTTAGCAACTGGAGCAGTTTACAAAGGTTCAATTACTGTGACTCAGCTAACAAGCAGCATCTTACTATCATTGCTTGCAATCTCCTCTTTTTCTCTTGCAGTACTTAGTTTCCAAGGAAGTGACAAGCTGGAAGTTAAACTAGGATCATCTGTAACTGGAACATTTTTACTACATTATTTATTTCCTGCATTTGTTTCTGCATGACATTCTAAAAACTTCCCTCAAACTTGTGTTGTACTCTTTCCCCATTCTGAAGCTTCTTCCATCGAGTTACAAGACACCAAATGCCATGTGACACCATTTTCAAAAATATTTTGAATTCCTGCTGAGCCCTCTGGGTTTAAGCACTCACTCAGTTCTTCTGAAAATGAGATTTTAAACTGTATGTCTAAATACGCTATCATTAGCCAAACACTGCAGTTAGGCTAAATCTTTACCCAGGCAATAAAATAAATTCAGCGTCTCCGTAAACTTTGTGTAAATCTATTCCCTTTTCAAATGATACGACAGCTTTGATAGCAGTAGCTCAATTGCTTTTCACTGTTCATCAGCATTATTCCTAAGGGAAATCTAGGTCTCGTACCTCTTTTCTGCTCCCACCGAAACTCAGGGCAAAATTTCCTCTGACTTCCTTCTGTAAAACCAGAAGAGCCAGTAGAGGGAGCACAAATACGTGCATTCTGTGGTTCCTAAACAAATAATAACGTGCTATTTTTTCATATAGTGTTTGCACTACTTTTTTTTTCTTTTTTTTTTTCCTTTTTCCCCCTCCCCAATCAATAATACCATCTTGATCAAGCTCCAAGAGAACCTGATCCAAGGTGAGGAGACCACGTTATTTAGTGGCCCTTCCTGCAATCCCCGGGACCTCAGGACTCTGTGTAACAAGGCAGAGGGGGAACCCTGTGAGACTGGCATTGGCAAAACCAATGTTTTCTACCTGTCTTAGGGAACAAGACAGGTCTTCTATCCTCCTCTTTACTTCTAAATTGTATGTGTTTCAAATGGGGTCTCGGGATTGCTATGATTTTTGAGAGCTTCCCTCGTAAAGGAGGGAAAGATCTAATGTCTTGAGGGGACTGACTCAGAAAGAAATACCCCGCCTCACATACCCCCCAGGAAACCAAATGTAAACTACTGAGTTTCTTATTCCATTGTCAAGCTTTCCTGTGTGGAGAACCCAAAGCCTGCCCTCCCATCCATCCTACTTTGTTTGAAACTGCACACATGCAACGATTGCAAAAGCGCTAGTCAGTAGTGTAAGTATGCTGCCATTAAAGAAAATAGAGTTAGATAAATGACAAGTGCTTTGGAAAGTGCCTCTGCCAGATGCCACGGGGGATAAGATGGGAAAAAAAAAGCATGTAACCATTTGGATGCGGAACATTTTCAAAACAAACAAAAAAGTCACCTTACAGATCCATTGGTTCTCTACTTCTAAATTTGAAAAATAAATAAATAAATAAATAAAAGATAAAATGATTGGTTTGGAGTTTGGGGTGCCCTGGGATTTTCAACAGCATACAAGAAGCTGTTACCTGTGCTTAGAGGTGTAGGCAGGACTGGCAATAAAGTACTACCAGCAATAGAGATGCTAAGATGAACATTTAAGTGACGGACACGTTTATAAGTACCTCTTCGGTAATCATATTTGATGGATTTTTCATCCTCAATTTTGTCTCTTTCAGAGAAAAAATATGGGACTACAATTCCTTGCTCTACAGATGTAGGCAGAACTAATGAACTTGACTCTAGAATACTCTAAAAAGAACAACAGAAATCTTTTGGGTCAGTGTGGTCACTGGAGCCATCCTTAACTCTGTGAACTACCTACTGCCTTACACTGAGTAATAATTTCCTTAAAATACTTTCTGTCTATGCAAATATATACAACCATATCTGATTTTTCAGTGAGGAGGCCTAACAAGATTTTCTTTTTTTTCCTTTCTTTCCTTGGTGTTCCAGATCGTTTCAAGCCCCAGCCTACTGGGTGACCACTAACGATGGTACTGAACTTCATAGGCCAGGTGGGTCTCCCCTGCCTCATAATCCTATTACACTGCAGAAGATATCTCAGTTGGCCCTATATTGACCTTGAAAAGAAAAGAAAAAGAATAACTGGATAATCCTTGAATGTGTAAGTAAATCATGTAATATGACATTATTAATCACTACATATATAGTACGCAGTAATACACTAGAAATTAACCGTTGTTATTAAAAATGATAGAGAAGCAGGCGTTTTTAGAGAGGCCACGAGAGTGTCCTTGACAAGTAGAAGATTTCTGTGTGCCTGTTTTGATAATCATTCAGGCTACAGACACTTTACCTGCTGGCCTGGTTTGAGCGGCGATAGTGTTATTCCCTGGGTATTGATCACTGGGAGTATCTGGTTGCCGATGACAGTAGCGATGATTTGACCCTGGGCATTGGTCAGTAACTGTGGAGTTATCGGCTGCACCTGAAGTCCCTGAGCTCCACTTGCCGCCTGGCTGGAGGGGACTGGATTAGGCATCAGTGGGATTGTTCCAATAATCTGGAAAAAACAACACAGGGAAAATGCACACTTGCCACATACACTTGCCGCACGTGATTAGTTATATTATGCATGTTAAGTCAAACTTAGGTGAAATAAACACAGAGAGACAGGTGAGACAGGCTGAGGGTGGGAAACAACCATTCCTTTACTGGGGCGATGACGACTTTCAAACTCATTTGTCAAGTCTTATATCACTTGTATGTTTTGCCACCGTCCACTGTCACCTGAAACAATCTGCCGTGGCTGAGAACATATGAATCAAATGCTGGGCCAAGCTTGAGGCCCTGCATCATGGTTTGTTCCCACCTCACATTTTGATACAGAGTGAAATAGGCACAGATATCAGTCTTTTTATCCTTCTTTCTACAACTCATACGCACAGTGGTACTAACTGTGTAATGCTTGTGTAATTTTCCTTGATTTGCTGATACCTAGTACTCTAGATGACCACCCATTACTCCCATGTGATCTCAGGAAGAAACAAAGGGATACTGGTACCATTCAGGACATGCCTTATTAAGATACATTCATAAAAATGCAGGCAGTTTTGGATGACAACTATGAAGTACAACACAACAGGAGGGCTGATGTTAGATAAAATATATTAGCTAACATTTCTGGGGCAAGTACTTGCAGAAAGAGACATTTGTGACATCTCAGACTTGAGAATACAGTGATTTCCTAAAATGTGAATGTGACTGTAAAACTAATATTAGGATGAGATGTCAAACAGATGTTGTAAGAAAGCTTGTCAGTCAATAAGCCGCTAGGCTGTAAAAAAGGTATGCTGTTGGAAGATTTTTTTACAAGTATTAGAACATCTGAAACAAACTTCTGATAAAACTTGGGACTAAACCCAAACTTTTTCTTTATTTTCAAACAGCAACATATGAATCTGGAGTCATAGGATTATTGCAACAGGTAAAGTAAAAAAAAAAAAAAAAAAAAAAAAAAAAAAAAAAAAAAAAAAAAAAAAAAAAAAAAAAAAAAAAAAAAAAAAGGAAAAGAAAGAAAAAAAGAAAACCAGATCTCTATTTCCTTCACCGTATCTCCTCTCTCTCTATCATAGGCAGTCAGAAAACGTCTACCCTGTTGTAAAGCTTACAGTCTTCCCTCTCCAGAAACCTTGCTTCCTTCTCTTTATCCTCAGTATCAACCACATTTTGACCCCCACTGGAATGATCCCGGTTGCCCTGTATCCCTTGCCACATACATTGACTAGTATAGAGCCACCTGGTGCTGAGAAAGTGCAAAATTAGCTGTAAAATAACTGTTCAGTGAAAAGATCAGTTAGCTTTGAGGACAGACCGCTAAGTTACTTTGTGTAAGTGCAAAACTAGAGAAACAGCTCTGAATCTCTTGCTAAAGATATAAAATGGACACAGGTGTGAACTGTGTGGTGAAGAGTACCAGAGATCTCTGAGGACCTCTGCTTATTGAAGTCACCAAAGGTGAGATACAACAACCCCAGAAAATCCATGCTCAATGCAATGATATCCAAGCAACTCGGGCATAGCTGGAGGGGCAGGCGGGTCTCATCAGAGGACCACCCTCTTCCATTGTTGGGCTAAGACATGACTTGCTCAAGTGACAGGGTCCTACTGAGTGGCTTCTCCTTCAGCAGTCACACCCCAGTGGTGTCTCTAGGTAGGCTCAACCATGAAGTACAGTTAAACCAACTCCTGGAGCAAAAAGAGTGCACTTGGTTAGCTATGGCAGGTCAGGTAACAAGTGCTGGGTGCTGAAGTCATCATCAGTTTACCACAATTGCCCAGTTAGAAGTTAGCATGGGAAGATGAGAGAACCATAAAGAAAAGCAGGACAGCTCTCCTGTGGGAGAACCTGATAAAATGGCAAGCCCATCTACTAAGCTGTATTGTGAGAGCTGCATATATCAGACTGCTCAAAAAGACTGTAAAGATACCATTTAAGTTCTTCTTAATGCGCAGCTAAAAGGTAGGCAGATCAATAAAGATTATTATCCCCATTTTACAGAGCATGAAAGTGAAGCACGGTGCAGCATATTCAGAATTAGCCTTCTAAGCTGGAATTTCCTGTGCGTTTCTCTTTGCAGACCATAGTACTTAAATTTTATTTTTTAAGGTGTCCCTATCTGAACAGCAGCTGTTCATGTGAGAAGATGGCTGTTTACTGAGGATAGAGGCACTTATTTACATCATTATCAGGTTTCAGATTGTTTTCTAAAATCTAATTTCTAAAATTCAGCATGAATGAAATATATGATTGCGATGTTTCGCAACACGTAAATTTCTCCCAGTTTCTGTGACCGAACGTATTTATGGCCCACAAATATATTCTTCGACTTTTAATATAATCTCACCAAACACAAGGAATAACCTTCTTAATTTTATCAGCAGAGACATAGCAAAGGCCTCCTCTTCCTTTGCCATGTCTGCAAAGGCCACAACCTTGGAGTGTCATTACTCCAATGCAACTTTAACTATCAAGGTCCTAATCCCAGCAAAGCAAAAAAATGCTGCGCTGGTGTTATCAGTAATGGAAATGTTTGCATTCACATTTAAAATGCATTTCTTGGAGTGCAGTTGGCCGTTTCACAGAATGACAGTGCTGAAGTGGACAGTTTGTAAGGTCAGAAGCAGAAGGCTATCTATACGTATTAATGTGTGTCACACACCACAGTGTACGTGGCATGCTGTACATGCACCCGGCCAGAAACGGAGCAGGGAAAACACAGATGGGAGAAATGTTCCAGAAGGACAAACGAACAAGTGCCCTCAGGGGTGTTACTGTAGAAACCAAGGGTAAATCCAAACGAGAAACAGCCCTTTCACTTTCTGAAACTTCCTGAGATTTCAGAAGGTTTTATTCCATTTTATACCAAAATTAAGTACAATCTTTCTGGTTACTCTTTATTGCGTGCAGCTTTCATGTGGCTAAAATCAGATTCAGGTTTCCCCTTTCAAGTTCCCCCTTGTCCAAATACCCTCTCCTAAATATCCTAATAGCTCATTAGTTCACATGTGAGGAGTACTGCAACTGGATCCCTTCCCCAAACCTTGTGTGACTTTCCTCACGCTGAGCCAGATCCTCCTTCCTTTTAATTCTGGTATGAAATTTCACCCTGGGCCCTGCTAATCTGTCCTCTTAAATTATTGTGAAAGTTGAAGACAATTTATGGGTTTGATACATTTAAATCTCGTCAAGAAATAAAACAAGGCCATGACACAGGCTTGAGGCACTGGTGTGCCACAGTACAGACTGTTTAATTGCCAGTGATTTCCCTAGTTGGGAGGCATTGCTCCTTTCTAGGAAATGCTGCTATTTCAGATTATATTTAAGGACAATTCAGGAATAGCATGTGACAGGGACCCATCTCACAAGATACTTACAGAATCACACAATCACAGAAAGGTTTGAGTTGGAAGGGGCCTCTTGAAGACCATCTAGTTCAACTCCCCTGACATGGGCAGTGACATCTTCCACTAGACTACATTGCATAAAGCCCGATCCAACCTGGTCTTGAACACTCCCATGGATAAGACATCTATAACCTGTCTGAGACACAGCAGAACTGGCTTCTTACTCTGTCAGTGTTTGACCTCAAATTCATAAACAACTCCACTTGTCAAAGATGTTCCTGAGGAAAAAAGTCCCACCCCCCTAGAAGTCCTCATCTACAAAAACAGAATTTAAAAACTTTTGTGGTTTTTTTTTTTTTACACTATGCATGCGACTTTCACAATTCCTTATAGTATATATATAATAATAAAATTATATCAATTATTATTCTTTCTTTATATTTAATTGCCTTTGGGGTTTACTTTGCTGTAATATACAGGCTGAAACTGCAGGCAGCAGCTGAGTGACTGCTCATAACTTCTTGGGATAAACCTCTAATTGCACCATTTACACTGCAGATACAAAACCAGATTTTGCATAACTGTATGAGGGACTAATTGCTGATTTCCCAGTAATGAGTCTTTTCTTGGGGCTCCTAATAAACCAGTTGTGTTTTGACACTCAGTGAAGTTATTATGATACTCAAAAATGAAGCATACAACTGTTTTTTATTAAGTTCTTCTCCCTCTTCTATCATCAGAAACAGGGATGATGCCTTGCTTCAGCGGTTTCCTGTCACAACCTAAGGATTATTACAAACTGTAGCCAAATGGATAGTTCACCAACTGCCTTTATTTCTGCTCTGAAAAGGGTAAGTAAAATCAAAGACCAACTACACTGGTTTGTTTCTATCGTCAGCCAGGGCTTCGATTATAAAAAGGAAAAGTTTTTTTCAGTAGTATCAACAAAATGAACATCTCTCCAATTTGATCAATCTTACAACCCGTTAAATACTGAAGGTTAATTATTCAGTTTTGGGGCTTTGGTCTAGTAGAAGGTGTCCCTGTCCACGGCAGGGACATTGGAATAGATGACCTTGAAGGTCCTTTCTAGCCCAAACCATTCTATGATTCTATAACTTTCTTCAGTTTTGCAAACTATCAGAAGCTGCTTCTATTGAGACATATGTTCCTTCTTGTATGGTATCAGTATGAGTTACTTTAAGGAGATAATCTAAGAAGAAAATGACTGAGGAAAAGGTAGAAAAATGAGAATCTGCACAAAATTCTTCAGCTTCTCTGCACCTGCCCCTTTCTTAATCACCCACATATTTGTAAATTTATACACTACCTATATAAATTATAAACACATAGATATATACATTTCAAAATATATGATTTATTATATTTATATCAAGAATCAAACTATATTTATAAGCTATACTGCATATATGCAATACGCTGCAAATCTACATACTGAAAAAATAGAATCATGAATACAAGCAATACAATTTGCAGACTTCTTCTGAAAATAATGCTATTCCATCTCATTCTTTCGAGTAATGACAACATGATTCTTCAGCTCACACAGGATAAGACCAAGGCTGCCTGTGTCTTTCAAATTAGAAGTTGCATCAATTCATGCAAATCGTGCAGATTCCTTTGTTGCATTGTATT